AATTTCTGCAAAAGGTTCAATTCGTCGTGGTTTATCGTGGCAAGAATACAAATGGAACAACAAGATCACAGAGAGCAGTTGAAATATATAAATATATACCGACAGAAAGTAGTTGAAATATTCGTCAAATCGATAACTGTCGCGAATAATTAAAAAAAATTGTTAAGCTACGGAAATATAATTCAAGAAAAAATTTTTAATATCTGAAAAAATTTAAAATATCTAAAATTAGTATTTCAATATATTAAGTACTGTTATATTAAGAACTGTTCGGCAGAAACAAAGACTCTTGCTTTCATTATACAGTGAGTTTTTTGTTCCTACGGAGAAATACGCAACTTTATTACAAGGTTAATAGTACTACAATATTGGTTTTTTTTAATAAAAAGATTTTCAAAGAAGCAAAACGTTGCATGACAAGTCAATATCGTTCGCATTTTTTGCGATTAACATCACAATAGATTGCAAAGAAATGGCGATGATTCACAGGAATAATGATCGGGGATCGGAGTCGCGTCGGTGGAGATACGCTACTGGTGACGAGCTATCTGGCATGCCACCAATAGAGGAACGCTTGAACAAGATATCCTTGTACTTTCGTAAAACGGAGGAGCAAACGCTGATGTAATTCTCATGTTTCATCAAGGAATGTGCCCGATCGGAATAAATTCATAGTACGATAAATAGAATACTGTATTACATAAAAATGATAATTAAAAGTCTCTTTTAGTTTTCAAAAGACGATTTTCAAAAGTTAATAAGTCGTAATTTAAAAGAAGTTAATAAAGAACAGGTTAATAAAAGAGATGAATAAACGAGTAGTTTGATATAAAAGACTAGAGCCTATATAATTTAAAAATTCACTTTAACATCTGGAAATAATCTGGAGTAATTTTTACATCAACAGCAAAAAAATAAAGCTCAATCTCAGAGTTTTCTTTACTAAAAAGGAATTCATACTTATGTTTTATTTTTTATCATTTTCAAGAAAACATCAAGTAAATCTTTGTATGTTGATAAGTTGTAAATATTAATAAATTAATAGGACAATCAATAATATGTAACATGTAATTAATAGTGACTTTTAATTGAAGTGTAAAAAACACATCAGTGACGTAAAAAAAATTAGGGGGACTCCCGAGTTAAAATATAAATTAACTTCAAATCTGAATTGAAATAAAATTGAATTAAGACATATTTGCATGTTGAAAATATAAATATCTGTCGCATAAATATCTTTTATCTATGCAACTACAATTATTAAAATTAACTTGTACAATAAACACTGTGCACATTTCTAAAATACATCCGCCCCTCATTTTGATCCAGTCAAATAAAATTCATTTAAATTCAAAAATCCATTCACAAGTCCTAGAAAAACTGTTACTTGACCATTTTGACAACGCAAAATGTTACGAGAGAGACTCTCGTCATCATCAATACAATTAATGCTTGCGGGGGAAATTGTAAATGGTATTTAGACGGTTATTATAATGAGAAAGTATCAATGTACGATTAATTGCTACATCTGTCTGGTGGATGGCGATATTAACGATTCAACGAATCAAGTGCGAATATCTCCGCGAAAACGTGCGAGACGGACACGTTGAGAAGATATTCAACTTTCGAGGCCGCAAAGAAATCGCACGACGTCAGAGAGCGGACGTTAGACAGAAAGAGAGAGAGAGAAAGAGAAAGGAAGAAAGATGATCGCCATCCCATTATAGCTGAAGTTGCCGAAGACCGCCTGGTATGGCCCAAAATAGTTCACGTGGAGCCACGTCACCGTGTCGATTGGACCATCGAAATTTGCGCTCCCGGACAAGCCATATCATTCACCTAACGAACATGATTTGACGTGACGCTTCGTTGCAATTTTGTGCGACGAATATGTTGCTCGGACCGGTCGATATACGTATTTAATCTATGATCTGACCGTCACGATAATGTAGTCCGCTTGAGACTATTGTAGAAGCGGTAAGATATCACGATCAAACATGCGCATTTAACAAAATCCGCGTCTTCAATCTGTGTGCTCCAAGACCGGTTTAGAAGGCTAGATCCGCTTTTTTTTTAGGGAGAATAAAACGATCTCTCAAATTTATTTCGAGATCCTCGTTAGAGATATCGAAAAAAAATATGAGGAATTACATTATTTGTAATCCGCAAGACAATGGATGTCTAAGCTTTTTAATAATAAGTTTATAATTTTATCTCTTTACTTTTAGATTCTCGATCACAAAAAATAATCTTTTTTAGAAAATTAATTCTTCGGCATGTTTTATACCTTTTAAAAGATATTAACTAAAATTAAAAAATACTTACAAATATTTTTTGAAAGCATTAAACTTATTCTTTCAATTTTTATAAAAGAATAATTTATATAATTTATAATTTACATAATCGGATTATTTATATTTTTATTATTTTGAAATTATATTATTATCACTATTATATATTAAAATATTTATATTATTATTATTAAATTAAATAATTTATCAAATTTATGAACTATTGAATTACATATTTTCTTGGAAATCACAGAAATAATTCAAAAATTAATATTTTTAACATAATGATAGAAAATCAATTCTAAAGTATGATGTATATTTTTTGTTGAAAAAACGCACGATACATTTGTAATTCCTTCAATTTAACGCTAGAGAGCAGAAGTGTCGCTTATCCTCTATCTACTTTGGCCAAATTCACAACGATTGCTCATAGAAAAGATTATTTTATTTTTTTTAATTCAGAATTTTTTAATGTGCTCTTGTAAAATTGCTAATTTTAAGATGTATTACTTTTCTATCAAATAAGCGATATATCCTTCGACAAGTTTAAGAACAAGGTATGATATACATCGATTATGCTGGTTAATCACTCTTTTCAATACTTTGTATAAGTTATATACACACTCAATATGTATATAACTGATGGGGTCAACGCTCGTAAGAACAAATAGCAAGCTTTCTCTTCTTATATTACACGCAAATCCTTGCTATACAAAACAGAATTAAAGAACCTTAAATATTGTGATTTTGCCCCTTTAAGAAACGGCAACATTGAGTGGATTCTGCTTGAATTTAGAAAACAAATTCGACTGTCTGATCTGAGTACACATACTTTATATTTCTTCCATAAAAGTTTGATAAATAATATTAATATGAAGGAAACCAACTAAATATAATAAAAGAAAAACTGCACTTGCTAGATAAATCAAGAATATATTTGTAACAAAATATTCATCTACAGAAATCCTGACGTTTCGGCGTATATAACAAAAAATTCTTTTCTAAAAATTTTATTTAAAATATAAAAAAAAATGTATAACTTTTACATAAATAAAAATTCAAAAAAAAAAAACGAAATTTCTTGATCTTCTATTTGTTCAAACTGTTAGAAATATGCTCTTTTAACTGAGACATGAGTCGTAAAAGATAGGCAACAATTCTGAATTATATTCTTATCTAAAAAATCGCATATCGTAAAAATTTCTTCCACAAAAATTTTATATAAGGATTAGTTCTACAAAAGTAGAAGAAAAAGAGAAAGTCAATTACATTTTAGTTAATTGAAATTCGAAACGCTTATGATTTAGAACTGACTTTCGAGTACCGAGACTTTGTCATGCCGCTTTAAATATCCACCTCAATGATCTACATCGGAGAGTGTAATTTTATATTCGTATATTTACCGAACTTCAAATGTGCACGAAACATATTCGTGTTTGCAGTATCGCCGATCGTCATAGCCCAGATACATAAATGGATCGGGCCATCGATCGCTATTTTTTCCTCGCACGTTTTTATTTACATCGGTTGTTACTCTACATTCTGTACAACAGGAATATCACGCTCTCGATATCGATCGCTTTGACGTCCTACATTGCGGAAAGATGATCTCCTGATGGATCTCTCACATTAGGAATGTGTATTTGGATAATTATACAGTGGAATTGACAACGACGCGACTAGCGGTATTGTGCGTATGCTTTGTTCGTTCGCACGTGCCACGAATTCGACTGATTTTGTCCGTACAACGCGTTAGCAAGTTAAAGTAAAACGAGAAGCTGCTGCTTAAAATTGACGCAAATGAGAACCTTATACTCTGAAAAGTTTGGTTATTTAATAACCAGACTTTTCAGCGAACAGCCTTTAAGTAGGTAAATGGGGGGAGGGAGGTTCAGAAAACCTAAAAACCCTAAAAAATTTACATTTTCGTAACAAAAAATTGACAATTAAAAAAAATAGCCATTGAGAGTCGACACAGTAAACAGTGCGCAATTTTCATATAATAAAATTTTTTAATAGTTAGATAATATATAAATTAAAGTTGCAGATATTAATTGAATGATATAGAAACTTATAGTCGTAAATTAGAACATTTCGGTAACTTTTAGCAGTTAGAATAAAGAATTGAATGCAATAGATCCGCAACTTTTCTTCATTTATTATGTTTATTATTTTTTGTTTTTTTTTATTGAATGTACAGAGTTAAATTTACATTATTTATATCCAAGAGAGAGAGAGAGAGAGAGAGAGAGAGAGAGAGAGAGAGAAATGTACAAATATCAAATTTTAACAATTCTGGGCAATATTTTTTATTTTGTTTCTCTCGAACAAGATTTTTAAGATAACGTGTGGAGTACTGTTGGTACTTATTTAAAGTCTAAAAAGATACGAAGAACTTTTTTTTATGCATCTATAACTATGGAATTCAGAACATTAGAAAATTATCAACTTATTGTTATGCGATTGTTCCCGCTTGCAGATAATTGGCTTGTTGCAAAGACCATTTAACAGTTTCGCGATAAGATAAAGCTGCGATTTGCGTCTATATGGGTCAAAAAATTAACACAGCAATTCATAGCTGCCACATTGTGAGACAAAATATATCGATCGAAGGAGGCACGTTCGAACTGGTAAATAAACAATGGTGTCTCTCATTCTCTCATCGAATATTATGATCAATCGTGCTCTTTTTCTCGAGTTTTCACTTACCCATAGATCGTCGAGAGTGATGGAATTATCGGTATAGAAAACCAAGACTTCAGCCGTGAGTGGCGATGTTTCACGCAGCTTCGACGCCAGCAGCAAGCAAGCGGTGCCGAGCAGTTGCAGCTGCGACTTCCTGATTGGGCAGATCGAAAGGAACCTGTCGACGTAATTCATCGACAGGGGAAAGACCTCATCCTGGCATTTCTGCTCTTCGCATACCTGCAACAGGCGCAGAATGATATATTTACAACATTATACATACTGATGTAACATGCACGTCACATGATAACGAAATGAGAAATCATTTCAAAATCGGACGATCGAGTCGCCGCGCGAGAACATCCAGATACGCAACTTGCGATGTAAATTTAGCTCATTAGCAGGTCTTGTTGTGATTGAAGATTATTGATTATATATATTGTATAAGCATGGTGCAAAATCAGAAATCGATTAATCCTCTAAAAGCATAAACAATATAAAACATAAAAGAAGCAGATTTTCTGCTTTCAAACAATACATAGTAGATATAGTAGACATGTTTTTCTAGATTATATTGGTATTCGCCGACTTATTGAAGGCGATCCCGGCCTTGGACCAAGGGACTTGATAGTAAACACGTGTTAAAAGCAGGAAATTTGATACTGGTTGTCGGAAAGTAGAAAATCTGTTTCCTTTGTGAAGTTTGTGTTCATATCTTAATGGTAGGATTAAGGTGACCCCACGACTTTGTCAATCAAAATTTTTTATTTACTGTAATTATTTAAAATCGATAAATTTTATTTATTTATTATATTTCAGTAAATTTTTTTTATTTTGTATATCGATTAAATGAAAAATAAACAGAGTCTAGTCAAATCTAATATTTTCCTCGATATTTTCTCAAAATCCATTGTATATCAGTTAGAGAAGGTTAATATAACAATCGAAATCTCTCCAACTTTGTAAATGCGATTCCAATAGATTCGTTTAGATTAATCCAATAGATTAAAATTCTCTTTAAAACTTTTAAAGAGTAACATTTTACTCTTCTTTCTTAAAATGAAATCTCATTCTAATCCACATTTCTTCCCAATGTTCTATTTATGGAATATCCCCCCCCCTCTCTCTCTCTCCCCACACACAAAATATCTTTTTCATTTTTTTTTCTTCATATGTATCTAAATTTATATAATCTATATATATAGAAAATTGAAGAAACCTTCATATAGAATATTCGTATGAAAAAAAAAACATACTGTCATATAATTAATACGATGGAAAGAAATAGATTAAAGATTGAAAAATGAGCTTTTTAAAAAGCAATTTTCGTTCTTTATAATAAGATTCCACACAAAAGAATTTAGATAGTACATTTTATTTTTCAAGAAATTTTCAAGATTTATTCTTCCTTATAATGCTGAAAGGATTCACGTGGAAAGAGAAGAAACGAATTTTCGCATGGCAATCGTCTGTAAACCTAGGTGAAGACAAGCACGAATATCACACCGGATTTCCTTCAATCGTATTTTAACAAGCACGGTCGTGACATTGTCACTACACAACTGCAGGTCGATCGCCTTGGCCGCAGGCATTGGTTGGAGAATTCTTTTCGACTTCGGAAATTTTCCATCGGATAAATTTCATCTTAAAATTTAACAATCTCTTTAAAAGGAGAAAAAGGACCGATAAAACAAAGTTTATCTTATCGTAGAAAATGGATTAACTACCTATGTGTGATAAAGATAGTTAACTGTATTTCATCACTGCTTATAAATTTATCCGGAGTTCTCTAGCGAATCTCTTCATCCTATTCCGTCATACAGATAAATTAACTCTCCATTTGCAATCTGGATTTTTTTACTATATATACAAATGAAATTTCACTCTTAAATTTTACTCTTACTTAAATTTTAATTTTTACTGAAGTTTTAACATTTAAATTACAAAACTACTTTTAGTAATAAAATAAAGTATTGAAAAGTAACTCTGAATTTTTTTAAATTTTTTGAGAGCCTGGAAAAAAACTTGGATTGAACAAAAAACCCAGACCTGGCAAATGGAGAGAGTTAAAATATGATTTTATATAAAAAATTAAAAACAAAGGAATTCTCGATATCTTATCGATGATTTATCGCATGCATCAATGTAATCGCGGCAACGGAATGAATCGCATTTTTCTTTTGTTATCGCATTTATTGCCGCATGTTTATTATTACCGCGTGTTTACATAAATCGCAGAGCCGACGGACCCCGGAGAGCCTTTGAAGTTTCGGGGACCGCTGAATTTGCGGTAGGATCGCGAATTAACTCCGCCCGGGCGCCTCGGGGTGCCGAGCCGAGTGATCGTGCGTTGTCGAGCCGCGTGAGAGGAACTTATTGAGCGTGACCAACGATCGCCGCAGTCAGCTAGCCAGTCCTCACTGCCGGCACGCACTCACGCACGCATGCACGCTCTCACTCACGCACACTCTCGTAATTACCCCGACGCCGCCACCAATTAGCAACACGGGCTTAACGAAATAATCGCGCTACACCAAATCGACGAAAGTCATATGTGAGATTGGTTCCGCCTGAAGAGAAATAAGAAAGAGACAAAATTGACAATGGAAAATTTTCGAAATTGTTCCTACTAAAAAGGATGTTTCCACCGAAACCTTTCCTTTCAACTTTTAAATTTGGTCAATATTAATTATCTCGAAGGAGTGAACACACACCCTACAATGATATTCTTCAACGAAAAATCGGTTCGACAGATTATCTTGCATCTGTTCAAATATCGACGAAAGCTGAGCGAGCCAAGTTGGGAGCAAAGGAGAATCCACAAAATGCATAAGCGGCGAAAAGAGGCCACAATTCATCAAGAAAAGGCATTCTTATAATTCTTCGGTATACATTATATAATATAATATACTATTCTCTCTCTCTCTCTCTCTCTCTCTCTCTCTCTCTCTCTCTCTCTCTCTGTATCATATAATATATTCTATTTTAATATTATTTTTTAATATTATGTCAATACAAAATAAATACAATTTTTTTATTTGAAATCATAATGTCTTTTTTCTTTAATTTAATGTAATATTTTACATTATTTACTATAATATATTTATTACAACGTAATACTTGAATACTTCATTAAATAATAACAGACTATTTTTAATATTATAAGTCACATACAGAGTGACGTGCGTTTCGAATCTAATTTGTACTGAATGCGGGTCTTGTATCTATCGTACAAAGTAGCGTACGCGAGAGGGGGTAGGAGAGGCCGCTGCTCTCCTTCGAAATTTTGATTAAAAAAAAAAAAAAAACGAATTATGAAAATCATTTTTACGATGAAAAATTGAACGTTTGCTCAATTCATGACTTACACTTATTCGTAATAATGTCTGATGATGCATGCTTTTAAACATGTAAAAAAAATTTTTTTACCCTTCTCTAACTAAAATTCTGGATACGCCTATGCGTATTGCTACATATATATTTTTTAGAAGCATTTGTTTAAAGTGCCGAGTAAAACATTTATCAAAGTTCGTTCGGAAACGTGATTTTACGTTTATATTCGCGACACGTGCTCGCACCTTTTAATCAGTAATGGATATATTTCGGGTCTCCCTCTTTTGAAAATGAGCCGTCTTAGAATTTTGTTGTTCTTATCTGCATGACTCTATCGAGCTCGCCGATCTCTTTTATAAGTTCGGCGCCAATTAAGCAGAATTGTCGCCGATAAAGCTGACCGCGACCAGTGTATGCATGTCTTGTGTGTACCGATAATAATTAGGCAAAGCTCGTCCATTTTTACGGGAAGCACACATAAAAAATCCAAAATTTGAAAAAAAAACCAGTACAAATCCGGTAATAAATTGCCCGCGACGCGATTTCGCGACTCGTAATTCAACACTTTCACTATCAGCAACATTTGCGCGAGTTCATATACAGAGTGACGTGCAAAAAAATTAATCGGGGATGTGAGTGAAGGAAGTGCCACGTCCTGTGTGTTTAAAAGCTTATTAATGTACTTGTCACAATAAAGAGTACATTGAACGAAAATTAATTAAAGAAAATTGTATATATTTCTAATAATTCGTGAAACTAAAAAAATCATCGAATTTGAGATTACGGAATCATCAAAAAGTTATATGTTTATCTCTGTTAAAATCAAATTATTGACTTTATAAATTATTTTACGCTATTTCTCAATGTTCAACCTCGATGAATATTATTTAACAAGTTAAATTATGCAATTTTAGAATTTTCTTTTTGATATATAATAATATTGGATTGTCCGGAAAGTTCGTGACGATTTTGAAGGAAAATTGAAACGCAGAAGATTTAAATTTTAGTACATTTATTACATACATTTATTAAATTATATAGGTTAGTCGGCACGAACTTTCCGGACAACTAATAATTAAATAAAAATAATTTTTAATCCGATAGGTGTCTAAAATAAATTCATTGTTAACGAAACTACTGTTCGCTCTTAATTGTCAAAATTTTTAATATTGGAAACTACAAATTATTTAAAAACGTTTGTTTCGAATCTAATTTTGGAAGATCGCTAAGAAAAAAAAAATACAAACTTGGGAACACCATTGAATCGTGATTAGGATTAGCTGCAATCGCTTTAAGTCGAACATATTCGATCGACGAACGCAATGTCAAAGAATTCAACGAACGCAATGTCGAAGAATTCGATGCGAACTTGCTATGCGTGCTGCTGTGACACGTACGCGTACACACATACACACGCATACGCGGCTGCGTGTGCGACCCAGCCGACTCGCTTTCGTCATAAAACAACATCGTCGAGGTCATCGCGTGAATTCGGTTATTGCGATTAAATGTCTGGTACGCAGGAGCAATTAAATGCTCGAAGAAAAAAATGATATCGATGCAAACAAAGTTACAAACACCGAAAATTTGTTCGAACAAGTCTACCGTATCGAAATTACATTGCATCAAATATATAATGGAAAAATATAAAATGGAAAAATATATTTTATGTTTTATTACGAATAAAACTGTCCAGTCATACAATTACTCGTATTATACATAATTATATGTTTTACACATATGTAATTATACATCTGTAATTATATGCATTATAATTATACGTATTATATAATTACTATTTTTACTTGTTATCAGCAATAACAACGATACTATAACTTAAAAAACAAAGATTTTCAGAAAATAAATTGAATGTTTTGAATCATTAAAATTTTGTAATATATTAATTT